GAGTAAAGATGATGGAGCCAGATCCTTCTGAGTAGGATCCAGTGAGTCGGTAAGAGATGATGATCACAAATTAGAATATAAGAAATTCCCTTTAAGCATAAGAAATAGGTGGGTGTTTTTGTTTTTGTGTGTGTTTTGTGTGTGTGAGTGTTTTTACACTGAGGATTTGAAGAGTGCTAGGGAGGCTGTGGAATCTCCATCATTTGAGAGAGTCAAAACTCAACTGGACACAGCCCTGAATAACCTCGTCCAATTGACTCTGCAGAGGGTTGGACTATGTGATCTGCAGAGGTCCCTTCCAAACTCAGCCATTTGGTGATTCTGTGATTCAACAGTCTTAACCATGGCAATGAAGATCAGATCTACTGGCTATAGTGAGCAGCCTGCAGTTAGGAACATAATGGATAGCTGAGCCTGAGGAAGTAAGCATGAAATCATTTTTTTTTGTTGTTGTTGCTTTCACTCTACATATGCTTTTAGACTGTGTTTGGAACAGTGATACATTCATCTATACACATGGTTTTTAGGAAGTGTGATTTCTGTGACCTATTATGTGACATTTGATTCTATAGCTATCAAATGCTAAACAGCTTTCTTGGAGCTTCTAAAACATTTTTTTCCCTGCTAGCATGCTTTAGCTTCCTACCCCTGCTTGTTCTGGCACTCATGTTGTTCAAAAATAATTTCCTTATGTTTTTAATAATGAGGAATGCTTGTTGTTCTCATACTCTCTGTTTCCCAAAACAGCCAAATAGTTTCTGCTCAAACTTCATGAAGGGAACCCAATCAGTGTTATTGGGTAGACACTGTGGCCCTCTAAAATGATCCTGCCTGAAGTCATGTGTTTCTAAAGTCACTTTAATCAGTTTATAAAAGGAAATTTTATGCTGCTTTACCTCTAGGGAAATGTAAAATGACCTTTTGTTTTGCTTTGTTTTATTTTGCTTTGTTTTGTCTTCAAAGAACAGATTTCATGTATGTATCCAAGCACATTTTTCCTAGTTTTGTTAGTAAGTAAAGCTAAAATGTTAAGTCCCTTGACTGCACTGGGAAATTTCCTTTTATTTTCTACCTAATTCTTATGAACACTAGTCAGGAGGCAAGCAGGTAGCAAGAACGGCTTGGCTAAAATGTCTGTATCTGTCTGGGATTCTATGTGACTAAGCGAAAAAGGAACTGCTTCCACATTGGATCTTTGAGTCTGACACTCTATAAAATGAATGTCTGACTCTTAAACCCAGAGGAGAGGAAATACGTAATGCGTAAGTGGAAATGCTTGTCAACATGAATGAAGTACAGAAGTGTAGGTGTGCGTGTCAAACTACTTGTGCCATCAAATCCAGAGAAAAATAAGATTGGTAAAAATAAAAATACAACAGCTAACCTGGTAAATGAGACAGGAGTATTAGGAGAATAGAAATCTGAAATGTTTGGTATCCTGCCTGGCAGCAGCTTACGAAGTAAATAGGGTCTTAGGAGGTATAATTAGAGGCGATACAGTGCTCCTGCAGTAGAGGTCATTAAGGCATTGTCAGAGAGAAAACAAACGAAAAACAAAGCCACTTGTTATTGCGGACTGTTTTGAGCATCAGATTACATGGATAATACAGAATTAGAGTTTGTAAAAGTGCATGAAGGTATCCATAAAGGTATTGCTTCCTTAAGATTCTGTGGGTAGATTTATATATTTTTAGAAAAGAAATTCCCTTTTCTATTTGATTACAATGAATGCCAAGAGTTCTAGTTGTAAAAAAGGCCTTTATGGAGAACTAAGTGATGGTTAAAAATGTTTCACCAAAAAAAAGGCGTATGTAGCAGCTGCCTACCTTAAGTATACCTTAATGCCTTGTCTGTGATTATTCAGTTTAGGTCAGCCAACAGCTTTTGTAGTATATACGTTTCATAATGCATCCACGCAATGCAGTACTTTTTACTTTTTCAAAATAACTCTAGTTCTAAACCCAGCATCCACCAACAGTGGGTTTTTTGTTTGTTTGTTTTTGCAGTGACACTAACAGAGTGAGGAGACAAATATAATGAATTCAGCTAAATTCGGAGGCTGGAACAAACAGTCATTGCAAGAGCAGGTTTCTTAAGAGGCCATAGTAAGCTCTGGTATATGCTTTCAAAAACGCCCACCCTGGATTCCCAGCTGTGCATCACATCCCCTTGTCATAGCTTTGCAGGGATGGGATCGCAGGGCAGTTGACTATGGTTTCTTGAGCCTGACTGATTCTGTGATCCGTTGGTCTTCTGTATCTTGCTTATTTACTTGCTCAACAGTTAAAAAATATAAATACTGAGGTGGAAATGAGTCCACATGCATGAATGCTTATCAATTTGTCTATTACAAAGCATAATTTCCATATCTGGTGTACCTTCTATAGCTAGAAGGACTATATATTCTCTTGGTCCTGTTTAGGATCATGTTGAATAAAGACAGGAGTGAGCTGATCAATATAAAACTAAGTGCCTGTTGCTTTTTTTCTCAAGGTCTGCCAGTTGTCTTCTGGATATTTACTGCTACCATTTTGGTCCTCGGCAGAGTTACCAGACCATCAGATTGCCCCCACATACTTCCCCCTTGAATGATGAGGTGTGATAGTACTGTCAGACAAAAATCAGTATAATTTTGGGGACTTTGTGTGAGTCTTCCCACCTCTATCTTCTTGTGCTTCCATTCTTCAAATTACCCACCTGGAAGAGCAGGACTTGTCTTCTGCCAAGTGAATTACCTCAGGATGGAGGCTGCAACATAATGATACTTGGATTCCTCTTTCCTCCCCAACCTTAATAAGTGATCACATGTGAGAAGAGATGAGGTGTTGCCCTAGAGTTGTGATAAACAGGGGGACATGAAGCAGGTTGGCAAGTAGGAAGTTTCAGACTGGAAAACATTCACCACACAAATGGCTTGTGAGACTCCGTGAGGCACTCGAAGTAGCCTGCCTTTAGGATGACTGAATAAAGAGCAGACACAAGCTCATGGTATGGGCTGACATAATCCTGGCCCAGCTGACTCAGGGAGTTTTAAAATCAAATGCCAGGAGAGCTGCTGCCTATGACTGGGACTGTTAACACTTTCCAGTAGAAATCGGGTTAGAACTTAAAGCTAAGCTTCTCAGCCAGTCATCACATGCAGTGAGAATCTCTACTGGGCCAACTTCGTGCAACCTGTAAAAGCAACATTCTGAGTTTATTTGCAAAGTCAGACACTGTGCAGCTTACAGCCTAGAACATGATTTCTTTACTGAAACTATGTTGAGTGTTTTTGAAACTTTGTTGAATCTGAAGAGAAGTCGTTGCAAATCTGACCCTACAAAATTATTACTAAGGAAAGGTCAGTTGAAACAAGAGGTGTGCATACAGCTTTTGAAGAAGCTCACTTCCCTGCTCAGTGCCAGCTGTTTATTCCTGCACTGTGTTTGCTGCTGGAACTCTGCTGAAGTCTGTCTTTGCAGAAGATGGTTGCCCTAAAGCAAACACAGCATTTGGTTTGCAAAAGTGTCCTATCACATTTTCTCATTAACCATTCAATAGACAGCTGCATGAGACCCCAATCTTCCCTGCTGGAAACTTATAGGAACTTTACCATGCTTTTAAAATGGGTGTGAGAGGGCCTATCATATACGTATTGCTGAAAGATGAACATTAAAAAGCCTAAAATGAATTCATAGTTAAGTTTAAAGCTGATATGTAGTGTCTAAACAATCTGACAGCTCTTAACTGCAAAAAAAAATCAAAACAAACAAAAAATTAAAATAAATGATTGCTAAAGTCCTAACTTATTTTGTAATCATAAACTGGAATAGCAGTTGGGTTTTTTTTGCTCTGGTCTCCCTTTCTGCTGGCTGTGTTCCATTTCTGTGTGACAGATGTGCTATTTATGGAAGGGGATTCTGAATATTTTAAAGCACTGACTGTTAGGATCATCTCATTCCCAGCCTTTAAAACCAAACAGAACAGAATGCCAAACAATTTTCCAGATAAAAATCTCCAAATTAAATATATATATATTTAGGCATTTAAAAAAAATCAGAGTGTCTAATGTATAGAAGAAGAACCTAATTCAAGTATAATCTATACATATATCTCAGGTCATTGCTGTGCAAAATAGATGCAATATTATTACTTGTTTCCCCTTTTAAAAAACAGGTATTACTTCTGGGAGAGGTAAAAAAAAAAAAAAAAAAAAAAGAGAGAGAGAGAGAGAAATACAGGTTCCTGGGGAAAAAAAATGTGTGTGTCAAAATTTGGCTATTTTTCTTTCCAGCTGTGTTGGCAGGTCAGGTGAAAAACAGCTTCTCCATAAAAACCCTGCCTTACAATATCTCTCTCTCTTTCAAAAGCTGGTCAGAAAACATTTATTTTCACTTATGCATAAGGCAGATACTATTTGCTTAAAAAAATCTTCTGGGGAAACAATTTCAAAGCTGACACATTAACATGTACATTCTGACTGTGTTGGGTAGCTGTTTGGGGTATCTGGGATGGAAAGAAAAGGAAAGCACAAGTCATTGGGAGTGCATCAGAAGGATTCCCTATAAACAGACAAAACAAACCCTTAGGTTTATTTCACCTGATTGTTTAGCATTTTGGGAATGTAATTCAGGTCATAGTAAGCTGTGCTATGCTGCTTTCATTCTCCCTTTGGAAACAGTGATAGTGAAAATAAAAACAGTTTTGCTTTTAAAAAAGACATTAAAAACAGATATGCAGTTTTTATTGCTTATTTTTCATTATACATATCAAATATTTTATTGTATTTTTAAGTTTTTCTGGAGAATTAAACTTTTTTTTTTAACGTTTCTATCTACTTATTTAGAGAAATCTAATTCCCGCAGTTACACTCCTGCAATCACTGCAGAGGGTGAAACCAATTTAATGTATGCAGCAGAACAATGTCCATACTATTAATCCCAAAAGGTAAAGGAGAGATGTTAAGCAGGTTATGTGACATTCATTATTATTATTTTTGCAGCTGTGGCTTAATATTCCAAAATGATTTTTTTCTTCCAAAAGACGACAGCACTTTAGTAGCTGCGTGACCTCCATGATGTCAGAATGTCATTGTGCAACCGTAGCTAAGAAAAGCCTCCGAGAAAAAACAAAGGAGCTTTGCATCTCCCACTAACATGAGATGTGCATATACAGTACGTAGCATTTTGGAATTCATACTGTGGTAGCGCGCTGTTGCTTTCAGTTTGATTAGACAATCTTTGTTTCGTTTTTCCTTGCTTTGACAGTGAGTATGCTTGTTTGCTGCTTAAGTCGTCTTAGTGCTATCTAGGTCAGTATACTTAGGTTGGCTTTTATGTTCAGTAAGTCAGACAGATTCGGTGCCTAAAAAAGATCAGCAGCAGTTTTTCTTTGCTTTATTATATCTATGATAGAAAAATATTTTATGATTAATCAGAATTGTATAGCACAGAGCACCTACCATTTCTGCATTGCAGATATATTTAGCTCTAACACTGCTTGTGGTTAACAGGGTGTAGCGTAGACACAGACAGCTGATCATGCAGTCAGACCCTCTGCTTGTGTGGTTTGTCAATACTGCTTAGGATTTTGATGGACTGTAAAAGAGAAAAAAAAGCAGAAAGGAAAGAAAAAGGAAATGTTTTACTTGCATGAAAAATAGATCTTTATGATATTTTTTCCTATAATTATCTTTTTCCTTTTCTTCTTTTTTTTTTTTTTTGAATTCTGAGGCTTAAAAAATAGGAAAGCGCAGCAAATGCATCTAGGATCTAATGTGCTATGTGAAATCTTTCTCCGTCAAGAGGATGTTGCTGTAGTCAATCCAGCCTTTCTCCAATAAGCAAGAAGATTGTTTTGTTTTCATCGGCAGGCGGACTCAGCTATCGCACAGACAGATTCTGATAAGAGTTTGAAATGCCTACTACTGTATCGTTGTAGAATTTGGAGTTTGCTAACAGTGCTAGTGACTGGAGCTCATCTTGCATCACCAGTTGATGACAATTTTCTTTGTTCCCTCCCACCCAGTTGAACCAAGACTCTGTAGCCGATATGCAATGTCACTTACAACATTAATCAGATACTGCATTTAAGGTGAGCTGTCCCTTGCCTCCTCCCTTACCAGAGCTGTGCTGCAGTATGTATCTTACTCCTGCAAGCCTAAAATGGCAGGCAGGATTAACGTTGCTTGTGCTGTGTGCATGCCGTGTATTGAATTCATTATACCGTGCCTGGTATCTCAAATGTGAGTATGTAAATAGTCTGTGTGCCATAGCATGCAGTAGCGAAGACTGGTTTTTGCTTCATTACAGGCTTAGATATTTGAGCATCACCTTAAGAATTTTTTTTCATTTGCAATGTGGTGAGCTGTTAGCTTGTCATCACATTCGAACTACGTTACTAGCCCGTGGAAAGAAAAAAAAAAAAAAAAAAAAAAGGCAAACTGTGCTTCCAGATGGTGTCACCCTTTTTCTTCTTGCATTTACTGTAGTTTAAATAATGTATATTGTATTGTTAATTAATGTGAATATCGAATTAAAGCACTTGAAACTTACATATTTATTATGCAGGTAGGAGGCACGTCGAATCTATTTTTAACTCTTACGCAGTCCACGTTGTGCAATGGGCTTTGGTTGTCGAGTTTATATTTTCAGCTGTGATATCAATAGGCTGATTTTCAGTAAATGTGACAAGTGGCCTTTGCTGTGGTCAGCTTCGAGCTGTGAACCCTCTGAGGAGGAGAGAAAAAAAAAATCTCGTATTGCAGTTTCGGAAAACCTCGGATGAAGATTTTTTTTTTTCTTTTTTTTTTTTCCTCCCCCACTCCTGCTTTCCCTATTGACAAATTCAGTTCTCCTGATCATGGTCTATTCAAGCTGCTTCCCATCTGATTTTTGACAACGGCTTCTAAAAATTATCAAGAAGACCGAGAATTCAGTTTGTCTCCATCGCTTTACGTAAAAATGGCTGGGTGCATTGCCACGCTAACACTGCACTAAGTGGTACATGCAGGTAGGTTGAGATTTGCATGTTTTACAGATTTCTTCATCAGGGCTGCAAGAACATAAAATGGGCTTTAGAATATAGCTTTCTGTTTAAAAAATACATTAAAGTGTTAATTGAAACCAACATGATATTAAATTGCTTGGCTTCACATGTTGACATGACAATTGTTTTTACCTATTTAAAAAAACCTATTGTGAAAATAGAGCAGTCATGTCTGTTAAAATAACCATAGGTAGCAAGGGCGTGGCGACGCCTCTGCAACAAAAGAATTTTTGAAAACCCGATTGATTCCATTACATTTTAAAGCTGCCTATGAGCCTTATGGAGCTTGCAGTTAAAATGCAAAAATAAAAATTAAGGCAGATAAGAAAAATGAAAAATATTTAAATTCTGCTGTGAGCGTTTTCCCATGCGTTGTGCGAAATCTTAAATAAAGATTGATAAGCTTTAATACTAATATTTTCTGTATTGGATACAAATATAAACCTTCAGTTATTTCTTTTTATTTTAAAGCATAAGGTTTTTAAATGATTGATAGAGATGGCCCTATCAGCTTAAGCAGAGTATCAGTTCACTGACGTGTTTTACTTCAAACAAAAAGATCGTGAAATTAAAACTGGCAGCAATAGGTGCAAAAGGCTGAATTTGAGCATTAAGAATAAAAAGAATTATGATTATTGTGCTACTAACTCCAACTTCTGTAATATATTTGTTTGAGATTAATACTGGGCCAGAACCAGTTTCCGTGGCAACCAAATCCTTTTAAAAGGTGCAGTAGTAGTGGTGTAAAAGAAATTATTCTCTTTAATACCAGTACCACAATGCAAATGGAAATTTTGCAGTTAAGTTTCTTTTCAGTTCTAAATGAGAATCTGATCTCATTTTATGTTTTCATGTGACTATCATTTCTTACACGATGCTATGTTTATAAAGCTGTGCACAGCATAAAACTGTTTTTTTCCTGTTTTGCATTGATTGCTTTCAGAAATGCACCCAAGTGGTGATTCTTTTTTTCCCTTCCGTTTTTTTTTCTTTTTTTCTTTCTTTTTTTTTTTTAATTAGACTAGTCTTGTATGTAGGTCAAGGTTTGTACTGTCGGTACATAAAGTGATAGTTTCATTATCACCAAGATAGAAGTATCACTAAAACAGCAGCTGAGAAATGTAGAGAATCAGAAGGGTGTTTAAGCCCCTTTTCACCTTTGCTGAATTCTGCCACAGTAATGCTAATAACCCATTTTTAAATAGTGGTTGCATTCTGGAGTTCAGCTAAAGAACTGTGTTGAACCATGCTGGAAAAGAGCTTGTATCAGACCTTATAAACAAGCCTTTATATAAGCTCACTTGCGGTCTGCGGTAATTTGCAGACCTCCTACATTTTGCAAAATTCAAGTACTTTAATTCCTTATTTCCATTTTTATGTAACATTTTAAAAATATAAGACAAATCTTGTGCGTATACCAGAGGTAACAGCTAATACAGTACCAAATTTGCTAAATGTCTCCACTTGACTTCTAATGCAATGTATTTCCTTCTGAGTCTCCTTTGTATGTGACTTGAGAAATTCTCACTACTGCACTGAGACTTTTGCAGCAGGGTAGCCATTTTCCTTTCACGTCCTTGACTTTAAAATGACCAAGTATATTTTACGTGGATGATGATCTAGCATGGAAAATCAATACAAAAGGTGTATTAGAAGCACAGTCCATTATATTAATGATAGTCTTGACAGTTTCAGTGAGATTGAACTAATTCTTATTTATTTTTAAATACATCAGTTCAGTGTATTCCAAATAAAGAGTGTATAACTGTTCAGGAAGATGACTGTTGTCATCTGTCTTGATAGGCCAATGCTTAATAATGATAATAAATCCATTGGGTTGGTAATTACTAGATGAGTTAGACAGTGCAATCATATTTCCCCATTCCACATAAGGAAGCAGAACTAAAAACATAATAAACAGCATCTCTCAAGTGACGTATGAAAGTTGTATTTTTAATATGATTTTATTTTTCCCCAGTAGCTTATCTCCAATATTTTATCTTTCAGTCTGAAGTGTTATGGAAAGAATACCTGTACATGTTCTTATGAAAACTGTATTTCGTTGTTTATTTCTTATGTGGTTATTTTTAAAGGAAGTTGCTGAGCTAATGCTCTGCAGTAGCAATCTATTTATTGCTGTTGATATTTATCTTTAGAAAAGAAGTGGCACTTTTAGTTAAACTGTTTTTATTACTTCTTTGTGTTTAAATATATGCACTCAGGGAAGCGCAGCTCCATGACACGAGCGTGCTTCACTATGGTCGTTTTAAATCCATTTGCAAATTCGCTCTTTTGTTAGAGGGTGCAAGTCCTCTTGTAATTAATATGACTGAACTCAAGTGCTTTCATGGCTCTGGAAAAACTCGCTGGCAGCCCGTGAGTGGTAATTTCTTCTAGCTGAAGAAACGGATTCATTTATTAAGGAGGATTCGAGTAATTAGCAAGCTGTTTGCAGTTCCAGTATCATTTGCCGGGTGCTGTACAGATTTTAATGGTAGTTAAATCTAGCTGAGGCAGGACGTCTAATATCAACGCCGGAGTGCTCTACAAAATCCTGTAGAAACTTCCTGCATTTTGTTCTCTTTGGCTAAGGGGGTAATGGATGCCCCTAGGAACAGGTGCAGTTTTTCATGCCTCAGCACAACCTGTCAAATGTTAGTGCTGGAGTGGGGGCAGACTTGGCTTTTTGTCTAGTGTTATCCTAGATGCCAAATTGCTGATATTCAATTCCCTTTTTTATACCTGAAATCTATTATTTTATGGATGGAAATTCTACTTATGCCAAACAGAAAATCTACATAAAGCTTGACTAGGCACAAAACCTAGCAAAAAATAATTCCAGTGGGCACTATCCTGCTTACTTTTAAATTACCTTTTCAGTTTAGGATACTTCTGGCTCTAAATTTCAGTTTGATTTGCAGATCCGACAGTGTGAAACTGTTTATCTTTATCTAATATCTGTTGGACTGTTTCCCTCAGGGGGTGTTAGTAATGAACAGATACCAACTAACCCTTTCAGGGCATCTAGGGTGGCTGTTTTCCTTCATGATGTTCAAGTTTGTCAGGTATAGGTTTTTAGCATGTGTTAAAATTGATTTATTGTGTATAGCAGTACATTATCAAAGTAGCATTACCAAATTTGGGGATTCTTTTAGCTTTGATAAAATCCTTTTTTTTGTTGTTTTTGTTGTTGGATTCCTCTAAATCCCTAAATTAAAAAGTTTAAGCTTCCCACTCACCATAATCTTTGTCAGTGACTTGAAACAATAGATGGGCTCATGACTTTACTGCTATTTGAGATGATAATAATAATAATGGCTTAATTAGTTTCTTTTTTCATACTGGCCTTTATTATGAGGAGACATGCATAGACTGCAGCTAAAACCTAACAAGTGATGGATGCTGTAGTTCAGTTTTCTATGAAATTATAGCAGTATGTTTGCAAATGGAAGATGTATCTATTTATTTTTAATTGCCACTCCGTAAAAGCCTGTTGGCTGAGTCATGAGCCTCATCCGCAAGATTCTGCAGTTTGTTCTATGGAACAATTTGATTTTGTCTAGTATCTTCAGGATGAAACCTTGTGCTAATATTTTTTACAGTATTATATAATAAAGGATGTTTGAATCCTATATATTATTAGGATGTTTGATGTATAGTAGCATAAAACGTGGATGTTTGAAAACAATGAAGAATCATTTAAGCAGCAAGATACAGAAAGACTATATACTGCTTAAAAAGTCTTATCTGTGGTAAAAGCGGTTAGAACAGAAGTGGCTGAATGGAAAGAAGGGAAAGAAAAGGCCCTTTGAGAGATGTCAAAAATACATGGCAGCTTTAAAAATAAAAGATAATTTATAATTGGTTTCTGAAGTTTATGTGGAGTCAAGGGAGTTGCCTAGTAATGAAGATTGTTTCCCACAGTACCATAATTTGTTTTCTGAACTGACTAGATGTGATAGCTAATCTTAAAAACACAATTATTTTTCACTGACTTTACTTTGTGAAACTGAGGAACAGATTGACCGAGAAAAGTAGGAAGCCTCCATTATTGGATATCTTATTAAGTAAATATGACAGGAATGGCTTGGATGTAGTTGGATGGCTGCTGGTAAAGAAATATAGCTGAGGCCTGCTCTTAGCCTAATTATCCCCAAAATCCTGGTGAAGAAATGGTTTCAAACTTCATTTAGAAAATGTCCTTAGATTCCAGTCTAGGATACATTGTGAAACATGATGTCCTGTTTGCACTACACAGGTTCAACCATAAAGAAGCAATGCTTCCCAAAGCAGTCCTTAGAACAGTTTCATTAACAGAGCTGTTGCATTGCCAGCCCGTGGCAAGGCTCATACGTCTGGAACGAGAGCATTCCAAAGAAAGTGACAATGGGTTACGCGATGTATCTGGAAATGGGTACTTGTCTAATCTTGAGTTATTAAAATCGCCTTTTCCCTTTGCAGACTGACACAGAGGAGCCACAGAGGTCCCACGATCGCTGAGATGATTTTGCCGGGCATATCTGTTGACACCAGTTTAAAAAGACAGTAACAGACAAACAACCTGAATCTAGGTAAGTTTATGGGGTGATTGATAGTAAGCTGCAATCTCTGATTTTTTTTTCAATTAAACAGCTACCTCGTTTTTGAATATGCATTTAAGAGTGTTTTTTTCTCACTATTTTACTGCTTTACTATATTCAGGTCTTAATATTGATGTTTTTTGTTTCCATCTCTAGTTTGATTTTTATTGCCATAGAGGTTAGAGAAATAAAATCTTGCAGAACAGACCTTTGAAACAGGTTGTTATGGCTTCCATGAAATTCCCATGATCTGTGCAAACCAGACATTTTGGCAGGCAAGAAGCAAACCTCTTAAGCCTGCCAGAATGTTAACTCTGGATGCCAGTACTAGCAACCATTATAAACCTATGGCATGCAGTAAAGGTAGAGGAAGTCTGTTAGCACCCATGTCCAATTTTAATCTTGCTATTTTGATTGAGTTTTATATAGTTCATCTCATAAAAGGCTAATCTCTATACAGGACTCTAATCAGAGGCAGTAAAAAAAAAGAAAACACTTGAATTGTGAGCTTCAGTAAGCAGTTAGTGAAATCAAGTAAAGTATTGTGATAAATAATCCGGATTTTTCAAAATACAGTTGTGCATTTTGCATGATTTTTTCAAATATTATCAGTTTCTGTCATCTTATTGTGAATTCAAAATTCATCTCAGTTAAAATTAACATATCTGGTATATGTACTTTCACTTTGAGATGCGTATGTATAGAATGAAAGAATCTGAAATGCTTTAATTCTTTAATTTTGAACCTGGCCTTTTACATCGTATAGTATAATGTGCATTGTAGCAAGGGAGTAGTTTCATTGATTGCAGTGGCACTATTCACACATTTCTGTAGGAAAAGATTTGTGTGCTCATAGTCATAGCTGAAATATCTTAAGATACAAATAGATAAATAGGCTGCTGCTCAAAATGTAAGAAAAGGAGCTATTTAAAACACATACACAAAACATTAAAAACACCACATTCTTTTTGTTTTAGAATATCTCAAAATAATATCTGTAGTCTAACTTTACTTTTAATATACAGTGCTCTGTGATTTAAAGACAGAAGATGATAACATTTTTCAGAGAAAAATATGGCATTGTTAGTTTAAACTAATCAATGAAATGTCAAAATTAGATAAATTGAAGACATTTGGACATACAGAGCAATGGCTGCAAAATTCTACCTATTCTAAATTCTACCTATTCTAAGTAAAATGATCACGGAGCAGTTGCTCAGTATTTTTTAGATAGAATACTGGGCCATAACCTGTTTCCTTGGCAACTACATACGAATAAAAGGTACATTAGCAAAGCTGCAGATGTGTGTCAGTGAATGCTTTTTAACCAGCCCAATGCATTTACATAGCATGTGCTCATAATAATGCATGCATCTTGAAAATCACCATGTAAAAAGATTTCTGGCATAGCCTAAAATGAATTTTTCATATTCAATTTAACCCAAATTCTATTGTTGTCAATGGAAATCTTTCCATGATTTTTCACTGAGCTTTAATTTGGACTTTTAATAACTGGACGATATTAGTGTGGCTAGTTCAGTGTGCAAATTTTTCGCCAAGATTCTGACTACATACAACAAAATATGGAAAATTAAGATATCTGATGTCTTTCAGAAATGCTCAGCCATTCTAAATTTGAATCTTGCACAAGAATTCAGAAGCAAATATGATCATTGCTTGACACACTGACAAACTGAAGCCACTAAATAAAAATGAAACTTCTGCTGCTTCTGGCACCCTCGTTCTATCCAAAATATCCAGGTTCAGAGACGCAACAATAAAGCGCTGTCCTTAACAGCCGGCAACAGAGGGAGCAGGGGGGAGCAATAGGAAGCTGTAGAAGAGATCAAAATGGCAAATGTTCATGGACTAAACTTGGGGTAAAATTTTGCATTTAGGCAGTAGTTTCTGTACACTTTCTGGGTTTGTGTAGTATTGTCTTGCTGTATATCCTTGTCTTTAAAAGAAGCTTAGATATCGATCAGATCCATTTTGATAGATTTCTTTAGAGATTTGAGGTAAGTTATGTACATTTTGGGCCTGTCTTCTCAAAGTATTCATTTTCCATAAAATGGAAGACTGTATACCTCTTTTCCAGTTAATTGTATTACCCAAATTGATGTATCTTTAATAGTTAATAAGTAAGTCTAAAATGCTCAACTTTGGAGGGACAGAAAGGAAAAATCGGAGACTGCAAATCTTGATCTTAAATTTATTTGGTGTGATTTGAGTAGTTGTGCATGTGACCATGATTCAGAGTAAAAGTTATCATTTGTGCTAGCGTTTAGGACTTTTAGCATGCTGAAACTCACAAAAAAAAAAAGAGCAAAAATATAAAAATATTTTGCAGTTTTAAATAAAGTCAGAGATCCGTGGTGGTCAGCTAGCAGCTTGATGTTTGTAGCTTTTTGGAATGGCTGTGCCTCATCATCTAGAAGACAAACTAAATCAGGTTATTGCTATGCATGTGTTGCCAGGGGAAGGGAGGCAGCTCTATTCTGAGTCCAGCAAGATTTTTACCTCAGCTGCAGTACAGGTCAAGAGTGGCTGTACTGGCCAGGTCCTCAGCGCACCTGGCTGGGAATCACAGTGGCCCCCAAGCACGCAATTTGGCATCCTCCTCTTGAGGATGTTGGTTCAGATATTCAAAGGATGTTTCCTGTGAAACTGGAGAATGAAAGGCTGGATTAGACTACTTTTATTTTATCTGATAACCGAATGGGCAACAGAATACAACACAGTGTTTGTCCAAAATGAGCAAAAATTAAATATTTAATTTGCCCTTTTTGTTTAAAGCTATGGAGATAGACCAATTACCAACTACTACACTTAATAGAAAAAGGGAAAATACTCAGACTGTAAACACAGCTTCACAACTGTATCTGATCTAAGCTAGCTAGGACTGCCGTGAGTCCCAGAGGTGCAGGAGGCTAGAAAGTAACTTGTCAGCAGCACATAAAGCAAATGAAAATATATTGTGATGGTTCTTACAGAATTAGTAAGATGTAAAGGGAGCTGATTTTTAGTAGCAGTACAACATAAGGTTCTAAATTGTGTGCAAAAGAGAAAAATCTGGATTTATGTCAGTTATTGTTCTTGCCTGTTTTTCATCTTTAGGTTGGTGGAGAGACAAAGGTAATTATACCTTTAAAAAAGGTCATGCCTAAAATGATTCATATGAAGCCAATATAACTTGGGAAAAGAGTCTTGCTTTTGTGTACTTGTGCAGCTTACAGAGCTTTAAAGAAAGGAA